ACCCATTTAATGCGTTCCTATGGGCAAAAAACTCACCGTTATGCGAAAGTTTTCCATACGGCCACCATTTTTGCTGCCTGGTAAGCGAGGAATCAGCGCGAAAACACAGCGGGCGGCCTTTTTTTACCCGGTGGCCATTTTGGAACCACCGATCAGCTGTTAGAAAAAAATCGCTATGCGAGAATTGGTAAGTGAAACAGATTACCGATCATTGCAAAGCGATTTTTTACCATTAGAAACATCGCAATGCGATCGCAAAAATGTAATCGCTATGCGGATTTGTCGTTAAACAGGACGCCCGTTAAGCGAGGCACCACTGTACTAGGGTCAGCACATGTTACAATCCTGAGCCAGGTGGACACTGTTTTGGGGTTAATTTAAAATCTGATCTTAACCCTTAAACAGGTTAATTTGAAGGAACATTGTGGTCTCTATGAGCCCACTTAGAAAAGCTTAAAAAGCCTGTCACTGGGAAAAATTAAGTAAAAAGATCCTAAGGACAGGATCTTTTCTATGATGGCCCCATGATTGTGGAATTTTTCTTCCTCTGAACAGGACGCCCGTCCTCTTTATGTTGGTCTTTAAGCATAACATTAAATTGCATTTTTTATATTTGTAATTTATAATATTTAAAATGTAGGTCATTCCTGGAACATAATGTATGTCTTTCCTTCACAGAGATCTAGATGTTCTACTGCCAGACATTGACTATGTAGAGATCCCTGTAGATTGGTGGAATGCTGATGCAGACAAATCCCTCCTCATTGGAGTTTTTAAGCACGGTATTTCTTTTATTCAGGTTTTTATGCAGTCCTGCTGTGTGAGGTTCTGCCTGGGTACAACTACTAGAATTGGGGAGGGGGGGGACTCTTGGAGTTTAACTTCATTTCACACCCTTTTGTTTCTCAGTTTTTCTTTTTGAAAAATATATGAAGGGTTGAACATATTAAAGATATGTTCTGAGAAAACCTGGATTCTGTGATCTATACAAGGCTGCAGGCTCTTGGATACTCACCTTTGGGTAAGGCCCACTGAACTAAGTGGGACTTACATTTTAGTAAACATGCAGAGGATTCCTCTGTAAATCATGTACAGTTTGAATAGTGGGAATGAAAGATAGTTGCATGACTGTGTATTATGTGTTTAGGTTGCATTTAAAAATGATCAGGCATGGAGAACTCCACTACAGGAATTCCTCAGGCTGCATTCCAGCATCTTGTCTTGTGAAGGAAAATATCTTATTTCTCCTGAGCAGCTGACTGGAGATAAAAGCACATTTTTATTGAAACATTCTTCTTTTAAAAGAACTTTAAATCAAGATAAGGGCTCTTTTTCTGCCCACCATTGAAACCAACTCCCTTTTCTATGCTAAGCAAGGAAGAGGTCTTATCATCAATCAGGCAATTTGCCTGTGTCAACTGGGGAGAGAGGCTGGAACAAGTACAGTGGTGCCTCGCTTAGCGAGGTTAATCCGTTCCGGATTAACCCTCGCTCAGCGAATCCATCGCTAAGTGAAACAAAAAAGTCCATAGGAACGTATTAAAACTGATTTAATACGTTCCTATGGACTTAAAACTCACCGTTGTGCAAGTTTCCTCCATTGCGGTGGCCATTTTGGATGCCTCGTTAGCGAGGCAAAACAGCGGTCGCCATTTTGTTTTAGCGGCGGCCATTTTGGAACCGCCGATCAGCTGTTTGCTATGCTTTGATCGCGTCCGCGCGATCATCGCATAGCGAAAAAAACCCATAGGGGCCATTGCTGAGCGAACGCTCCAGCGATGGCCTGGGACCCTTCGTTATGCGGTTTCATCGCATAGCGAAGCGTTCGCTATGCGAGGCATCACTGTATATGTGTATGAATGACGTGTATCAGTTCTGTAACTGTGGTATATACATGGGTTTTGTATTTATTTTCATAACTTAAATAACTGTTTCCTTTCCAATGGCAGGAGGAAATAAGGTATGCTAGAATCTGAATACATGAAATTCTGCTAGGGCCACCACTGACTTTGGATTAAAATTTGGCATTA